ATTTATGGAGGTTTTTGGTCAACCTTTTTTGTGGGAGAGTAAAGAATAAAAATATCGTATTCTAATGAATAAACAAATCCTGTAATTGGGAACCCATTGTATAATAGTCTCTTTCCTATAGAGAAATCTCACTTTCTAATATTTCTTCTGTTGTTAACCAATAGGACATGCTTTTTTATCAACATTCTTGTCATCATAAATGTATGCATAGTCATTAAAAAAGGGTAAATAGTAAAAACAGAATTTTGGTATATAGTTGCATATTTTTAGACCAGGAATAAGAATCTCTTCCATCTTCTCTGCATCTTCTTGCCTTCTAATTTATCTAAAGAAGATCAATCATTTCCCAACCTTAAAACAATAAGCCAAATGAATTAACTATAACTATTCAAGTTGATTTTTGTATAGCACTTACTTCATTACAAGATTTTATTCTGCATTGGTTTTTGGAACTATAAGGAACTTTCAGAATAAATTGAATGATGAGTAAGAGAGCAAATATATTTTCAGTTAACTAGTACTTTTATTCTGCATTGCCAATATGTCAATCTGCACAACTGTGTGTATTTCTGTATCCATAAGGCTTGATACAAGGTGAAAATTGCTTTGAAATCAACTTCAGAGGCCAGGAGCTCTGCTATTTTTCTATTAACACTCCCATTTGTTCAAAATGAACATATAGCTAGTTAGTGGCTACACATAGTCCTTGACTTATAGACATTCAGTGACCATAGTTAAAATGATACTGAATGAATAGTGTTATGATCAGTCCCCAGAGTTCCAGCTATCCCAGCACCTGTACAATAATGTGATTTAAATTTGGGGGCTTGCATTTAATGACCAGTTGCAGGGCCCAGCATTCACATGATTTGCAATTTGCAGCCTTCTTTGCCAGCTTTCCAAGTAAATCAATGGGGAAATTAGCAGGGAAAACTGCAAGACACTGAGGTAAGACTCCCCCACCCATGCAGACTCCCTGAGATTCTTTACATTTGCGGTGCATGAGTGCCCATGTATCCTTTCTAAGCAGTGCCTTCCTTCCTCACATCCTTCACATCTCCTTCAAGCTTTTCCTTGCCTCTTATGCACCCCCCTTGTAGCTCTCTGTTGTACCCTCACACCTCTTGCAGCTCCCCCCCCCCCAGCAGCAGCTAATTACCTGCCTGCCAGCCTACAGACTTGCAGCTGTCTGCTGGTTTCCCCACAATTCGTTGGTGGGAAGCTACCAAGAAGTTGTCTTATCTAACGGCCGTGGGATTTAGTTCATGATGGCAGCCTGGATTGCAGGCACTGCCATTGCTAAGCGGTGCAGTCAGACTTTATGACTCCCACTGTTTAGTGACAAAAAATGCTGTTATAAGTCAAGGACTATCTATACATGTTCAGAGAAATCATTGTTAAAAGTCTAAAGCGAAATCTGCATATCTGTAACATTGCTTTTAGTCCTTTTGCACTGAAAACTCAAAATAGAGATGATTTGTAGCCAGGGGTGGGATTCTACCAGTTCAGACTGGTTTGGGTGAACTTGTAGTTACAGTGAGCATTCTCTCCCCCCCCCCTTCCCCTGGTCTTTCCTGTTCTTATTTTAAAGAACAGCTGATTCAGGCAGCAGAGCGATTGCTGCGCCTCAGCTGTTTTATTCACAGGGGCTGCAGTAGAAGGTAAGTATTAGAGCTGAAAATGGGCTTTTTTAAATATGGAGCTCGTGGGAACCGGTTGTTACACCAGTTGAATCGCATCACTGTTGGTAGCTTTAGGTTAAGATAAGAAAAGGAACAAGCTTCTGTAACAATCTATAAATGTTATTTGTTATCTTTCTGAATTTGTCCATATTATCTTACCTAATACAGATCATAAAATCTTGTTGCCAATTTTTTTTCCTCTTACTTTTTGACTTATTTTGTACTGCTACTGAACTGTTAAATGTACAGTTGTTCTGAGAGCACCAAGGCAAATTTAATCTATGATATAGTTCCAAAAGTAATAAATAGTTAACTACATTATATTCTGGAAATCACTTTTTTTAATCCATAGCAAAGTTAAACCTTGTTTTAGTTAGAAAAAAAATCAACATTTACTGTAATATTTCAGATAATACAGTACTGAAAGCAGTGGAAAATAAGAGTGCAACTCCATATGGATCTTTTCTGAACAAAACTCTATAAATTCAGTTGAATTTTTTCCAGATAAGTTTTTTTTTTTAATGCAATCATTTCACCTTCAGTTGAACAGTGTGTTGTCTGGGTACAAACATCTTTGTTAGACAATAATCAAATAACTCCAGATAAATTTTTTGTTGTTGTTAAAATGTTTAGCTGTGGATAGGATTAAAAAAATTAGCTTCAGACGTTATGCAGCTAAACTCATAAATTTAAAATGTTTATTAGTATATTAGACTCACATTTTTGAGGTCATTCAGCCCCTCCTACTCATATCTGACATATAACCACCTAGCTTCTATTTGAAGATCTCGAATTGTGGAAAACCGATCACTTCATGTGGCAGCCTGTTTTACTGAATGATACCTTGTTCAGTCAGAAAGGTTCAGCTGTTGTCTATCTTAAACCTACTTCCTTATACTTTTAAATCTGTTAGTTAGATCCCTGCCCTCTGGAGCAATAAAGAATAAATCCTTCCTTCCAGCCTTACAGATACTGAAAAACTACTATTGTATCTCCCTTCAGTCATCTCTAATGACTCTTTATTCATAGAGCATAGTTTTCAGACTCATTTTAGAAATGTATGGATTTTATGCCAAAAAGAATGCATTCTAAAAAGATACATTTCTGAATTTAAATTGATTAACAATTCTCATTGGAAAATAGATGAGAGGGTTGTTTTTTTTTAAAAAAAAAAGAATGATAAAAGATCACGATTCTGAATAATTGTTTCCATAAAACAAAATATGATAACCTTTAAGGTATTAAATTTAGATGTTTTGTGTAAATGTGTGTCTGTGTTTGAGTGACTGGATTTATTTGTATACCCGAGTTAACTTGGCAGGGAATCTCTGTTTAGTCTCTTAGGTCATATTGCAGAAATATATATTTACAGGGTTGCATAATAGTTGTATTAATACTTAGCTCTCGGTGCCTATGTGATGGGATGTGGACTAATCTAAAGATTCTCAAACTTTTTCAGACTACAGAATTTTTTCATTAAAATTTTCATTAAAAATATAAACTCATTGAACTCCTGATCAAATGGGGTGGGACTTCTGAATGTCAGCATGCAACCCTTCCTGTACTTTTGCTGTTCCTTACTAAGGGAAATAGAATTTTCTCTTCATTCATCTGGAAAATATTCTGTGGTTTTCAGTTAAAAAAAAAAAAGAACCCCGAAATTAGACCTTGCACATTGTATTTGGAATCTACCTTTAAGCCATTAGCTTTTAGAATTTTGATTCTGTAATGTGCCTTATCACAGTTTTTCTCCATATTATGATGCAGAAATTATTATTTTGTATCTGGAAGGTAAACCCTAAGCCTAATACCAAGTTTAGATAATGTGGAGTGAGCGCTACAGTGCATGATCACATTTTATAGTGTTTTGAAAAGCATATTGATATAGTTGGTTGGATTTACAAATTCTGCTAGAATTATTTATCTCCACAAAATCAGAAGAATTATATCAAATCCCATGATCAGAGATTCTGTTGTGCAGAGGCTAACTGGCTAGTCAAACATATTTGTCTACCAAGAGCAGAGCCAGATGGGGAGAAATGAACACATTTATTTGGACACAAAAAAGAGTGCTGAGTTGGATCATTGCAACAACAACAAATATAAGTGTGGTAGCTTTCTGTGCAAGGGAACAATATAATACTTTATTTGCCTAATGACTCTTTGAACCTCAAAGGGTGCAGAGCATGGCCACCATTATTTTTTTTAGATTATTTGCTCTAGGAAAGGAATTAGAATTATTCAGATTAGGCTATTTGTTCAACCAAGAAGATTTTTGGGTTTCTTTAACGCCATAATCTTAAGTATGTCTCTGGAGAGTAGATATCATTATTGCCCTTAAATATATGTGAAGTTGCAGGATCCAATCTGAGCCAGTCGCTGGGACTAGAGGTTTATTCTTCCAAGCTGTGATGCTCATGCTGGAGCCCATCATAGAGAGACAGAGAGAGAGAGAAGTTGCCTGATGATGGACTCCAGCATGGATCTGAAAGCTTCTAAGAATAAACATTTGGTCCTGGTGACTAACTCAGATTGAATCCTGCACCATTATTGCTCATTTATTTATGATAATTGAAAACAATAATTTTGTTGGCTGCTTGCTATTTTCAGGATATATGCCTCATTTATGTAATTTAGCGTTCATAAGTTCTTGAGCATTGTTTGCTTGTACCCATAGACCTGGCAGGACTATTAACATTGATTATTAGTGTGGGGATGGCTGTACTACTTTGCACTTAATTTAATCCAGATACTTTTCATGGACTTCTGGGTTGTGCTTCTTAGATATTTCAGCCAGCACAGAATGACAATGATTACTCATCCCAACGCTGTCTTTTGCCAATATTTGGAGAAAGGCTGATGTTTTTTTGTTTTGCCATCTACAGAAAATGATCCAATTGTTGTTGTTTTTTTTGAAGTTATTGAACTTTAAAAACATTACAATTAACATTTATTTAAAACCTTAACTACAAATATTTTATTCCCACATTTAGATGGCTATTTATTGATTTAACTGTATTGTACTTTGTAATAAGCACACACATTAAAATTGCTATCATCATTACTGTTGTACAAACTGTAAGAGTAACTAATAATAACTGGTTGTATGGTTTTTCATCAGTATCACAATGTTGATCAACTTCAACATTAAAGATGTGTATTATTCGTGTTTTCATTGGTATATCTATGCTTAAAACAGGACTGAAAAAAATAAAATGCACACAAGGAGGTGTATCTTATATGCATTTAATAGTATCAAAACAGTTCATACAACAAACAAAGCAAAACTAATCTTTTTTATGCTTTTCTGTATTTCAGGGACGATGTTCAAGGGAGAACTGCAAATATCTTCACCCACCACCACACTTAAAAACACAGTTGGAGATCAATGGCCGCAATAACCTGATTCAGCAAAAGAACATGGCCATGCTGGCCCAACAAATGCAACTAGCCAATGCCATGATGCCTGGTGCCCCATTACAACCAATGGTAAGCATTGATTTACTCTTCTTCATTAATGTCCAGTGTGCAGCCACTGTCTCTGTTACAGAAAAAAAGTCTTACAAAAGATGCAACTTCAGTCAGAAATTGTCCATCATAGATAAATAACACAAGAGGAAGAATTTTTATGATGCAAGTCAGGTATCTAGCATTCAGTACACTTTATTGATTAATATCAAAGCAATTCATATAGAATAATATATGCCTCAAAATTGGGCAAAATTTTATCTAAAGACCTGCACAAGTATTACTTGTGCTACGTACTGTCTTTATCATGTAGTTGTACAATGTGGTAATATTAGGCCACCCTGCTTTAGACAGCACCAGAGGTTACTCCATCATTTGGCAAGAGAGTGTAACTAGCAATACAGTTTTCAGAAAAACTGGCAGTATAATATCATTTTACTATGTTTTTTGTAGAGGCATCAATCTCTACCCACTTAATCACTGAAGCTCTTTCCCTTTTGTTTCTGTTTCCCACTTTCTTCTTTGTCCCACACTTCATGTCTTCATGTTATACTATAGTCCTCCATTATCTTTACCATGGTCTTTCCCCATTATTTTCCCTCTGTGGCTTCTTGTTGGTGAATGCAGAACTATTTTGGCTATGACATCTGCTCATTCATACTTGGAAAATAATACAAAAGAAGAATTAGGAGTAAATACAGTATGGTATCATATGACTGTACTGTGGTAGTGATATCAAGAGAAAGGATTTCAGAGGGAGGATTAGGGCTGTGTTGCAAATATGATACTTGCCAAGAACAGTTTGTTGAGTGGTAAGTAAGATTAATTGTAATGTAGGATCCATTAGTAGTTTTTCCCTTCCTTCATGAAGAAGATGCTTAGATTGGGACATCCAATTTTAGATTTTGTTTCAGGACAAACAGTAGCTTACATCCTTGGCTTTAATTGATTTAGACATATCTTGGACTTATTCCAAAATAGACCCCATTGAGTTTAGTTCAACTTCTGCATGATAAATAGGGTTAGAAAGGCAGTCCTAAGATCTGATATTTTTGTACAATGACCTACATGTAAGTCTGATTAAGACAAGTATAATTTAATTTTAAGAGTTATCCAGCTATAAGAAAAGGAGCAAGCAACAACTCCACATACCAGATTGGTTCCAAATGTCCTGACTTTAATATGATTTGTGGGCACAGCTATAAATACTTCAAGTTCTCCAGAAATTATTGTAGATTGGTAGAGTTGGAGTTGTTCTTGCAACTTTGAAAGCCTGGCTTTAATCCTCTGTTTTTAGTTTACAAATTTGATGAGCAGGTTAAACAAATCATCTTTGGCAGGAGTAGTGAACTGAAACATGCTTCCTTTAAACTAATAATAAGGCAACTAATCAGAAATCTCCACTGTGACGGCAATGCAGCTGATAAATAATAAATTCTATCATGTTTAGTATCCTGAATTTTTCCAAAATGTGCAGATAATTTTAAAAAAGAACTTTAAATGGAACATTTAAGGGTATCAGATAGAATAAATTCTATCATGTTTAGTATCCTGAATTTTTCCAAAATGTGCAGATAATTTTAAAAAAGAACTTTAAATGGAACATTTAAGGGTATCAGGTTGAAAATATATTTTTGTGTCTTCCTTCTAAATGATAGAAGAGATTTCCGCAGAAACTAATAAACTATGTATGGAACATCCTTATGCTAAACCTGTACATTCCATTTTGAGTGGTTTCAGCCAAGAACTCAAGGAATTAATCCCCCTTTCAGAATTTTTTAATTGAGTTTTTGTTACTGAGCTATATCTGCCTTGTTTATTGTAGCTTAAAAGAGTACTGAAAAGCAGTTTGATAACAATATCTGTATGTAATCATAAGTTGGAAGGAAAAAATAAAGCACATGCCAACAAAATCATTTGAATGTTTTGTAAATAAGAAAATAGTTAATGAAAGAATACTATGACAGTTATATTTTCTTAAGCATAGCAAAGTTTTGAAGTTTAAAAATCAAGGTGTTTCATGGATTTGAAATAAAAATTTCCTGAAGGACATAACTGGAAGAAAAAATATTTTTGGTAGTGTTTCCTCATGCAGAAGTCTTTTATTCTTGTGAGATCACAAGAAAAATAGACACAGTTCTACCTTGCTAATATTTAAACATAATTCATTCATACTTCAGTTTGAAATGTGATTCAAAGAATTATCTTCAGACTGCTGTGCAGAAACCCCTGAAATAACTTAACTGAAAATTTGTTATGCAAAACTAGTACATTTGCATGAAGTTAGAAAATATAGATATAAGTCCCTATAAAGATTTAAAAGCACTTGCTGGCATGTTTGCAACACACAGTCCCTATTGCAAAATGCTGTCATCAGTTTAAGGTCATGATGGAAAAATAATGGGATTTAAAGGAAGGCTTATAAAGAGCAGAGGTGAATCCAAACCTGTCTTTATTGTGTGTTTCCCTGTTTTAAATTGACTTATGAAGCTGCTAGTGATTGGCTGGAATATTGATGGAACATTTTCCCAATGACACCATGTTAATCTGGAATGGAGAACCTATGCCGGTTTGCAGATATCTTTAGAATAAGCAACTTTCCCTAAATTTGACACCTTCCATTAGGGGGAACTTCAAGTCCCAGAAATCTCAATAGTTGCCAAGCACATCTTGAAGAGATTGAAGAAGGCTGTATGAAAGACAAAATTTTGGAGTCTAAAAACATCTAGAAAGCCATAGGTTTTCCATTCTGATACCTATAATTTATTATTTGTTTTATTAGAATGATAACTTTTAGTCACAGCTGAAACCTTAGTATCATCAGTTTATCCTTTTCATTTAACTAAATATGATTATTAATTGATTAAGTTTAATATTTTAAGTAGTGAACTTATTACTATTATTATTATATTATTATTTCTTCATAGAACCATATCCCTCAGACATTCCAAAAAAGAGGGGGGGAGGGATCTACATATTTCATCGACACTGATTGCATTTATCAATACCAAACACTAAAGGTGAGAAAATATTACCATTTTGGGTCTTCTTTCTGTTTTCCTTTGTCAGCTGGAAATAACGTGTTCCTCACATTAACTGATTAAATGTACGTTCATAGACTGTCAGAGAATTAGCATTTCTATGCCAAATAAAGTATTTACCTTATACCAATTAGTGAATAAAATTGACAGTAATAAAGGTAAGCCTTGATTTCATATGAATAGTAATGTACTACTGGAATGCTGTCACCATACCATACTATCATTCAATGCACACATTTCATTTTTCAAACTAAGATTAGTTAAATAAACTTAAAATAATTGAAGGGGTATAATACGAAAAGAGTTCCTTTTCTTTCATGATGTGAAAAAGAAGGTTGTGGTTTGTTTACTTTAGGCAAGTAAATCAGGGCTACAGGCTATACTATAGTGGTTCTTCTCATATTTAGCAGTGATCCAACTCCTACATATTGTATCTAACTCTTTGCCTTATTGTTTTGTTCTTCCTAGTATAATATAGTCTCTGATCTTTATTTGATAACATACAAGTGGGAGAGGGGTAACACCTTCCTTTGCCTGGATTAAAAGTGCCTTGATCTGCTTTGGAAATAAGTTTGTCTCTCCTATCATCACCACCACAACGAGCCTTCATCAGTTTTCTGCATGAACCCATTAAAACTTATTTCCGTTATCAGTTGCACTTTACTGGATCCTGTCATGACCATTTAACAAAGTTGTACTTCTTGCTACCCAACAGCAAGAAGTACAACTTACAGATAGAAGACCATGTCAAGAACTATGGAAAGCAAACATCTAATAAAAATTGGGGGTTATAATCAGGGATGGGATCCGACCGGTATAACTACCGGTTCTGTTGCTCTGCGTCGAGCGAGTGCAATTTATGACCTGCTGAGCTGCCCGGACAGCTGAGCAGCGCTGTGTGCGGGTGTGCAGCGGTTGGAAAAGCCCCTTTTTTCCTGCTTTTTCAACCGCAGCTATGCCGCACAAAGCAGCTGAGGTTGAAAAAACAGGAAATAAAGGACAGGTAAGAACCCGGGCGGGCGGGCCAAAACAGCAGCAACCGGTTCTACAGAGGTGGACAGAACTGGTAGAATCCCACCCCTGGTTATAATCATATTTAAATATGACTAAGAACATAACGGAATAAAATATTTTGATAGGAGCCATGCTTTATTTTGTCAATCATTGAATTCCATCATTAGATTGTCTTTAGCAAGACAGTGGAGGAAACATACTGTCCCTTTGCGGCTTCTATAATCAGGAAGTCAACAAATGTGGACTGGGCCAGACATGAAGATTGTGCAGATCTGTGGAGGTTCTCAGTCATCTAGGCCATGATAGCTTCTTCAAAAGGCAAGTAGACTCTGTTTTTTCCCTTGAGGAAGAAAATCTTTCGCTTCTCTTGAATGAGAAGTAAAATGTCTTCTTCCTCAAGGGGAAAAAAAAAACATAGTCCAGTTGCCTTTTGAAGAAAAAAATAAATTTTGCAGGTTTTTTGACGGTTCTGATCAAAATATAATGCCAATTTGGTTTTTTATCTCTAGTATCCTCCAAATATATTTGTCTATATGCTCCCACTAAGAGAAATCAGTTCAGAAAAGTTAAAATGGGGAATAAATGATTCACATCCATTGTCCAGTATTTTCAACTCCTTGAGAATATAATGCAAGTTCTATGGAAAGATATCATGTTCACCTAAAAGCACATCCAGTTTCACTTCAGCCAGATATTTTTCTATCAGCCAATAATATCCAGCCAATTTTGTTTGTTTTTGATTCATACGACAATGGCAAACTCAGTCCTGCCCTGCTGTTTGCCGCTCACAGATTTTTTAAAAAAAATCTGTTCCAGGATTGTCAACATCTAAATTGACAGCTATTATGATTAAAATATCTCACCCAGTCTTTCATATTTTAGGTCATCTTGTTTAAAAGCCACATTATCTTCTGACTTTTCTATGTTCAGGTCAGAAAATCCCAGCTACTAATTATATGCTTCCATACATTTGAATAGTTATATTTTATAGCCAAAAATTAGTGGTTTGGCTTGCATAAAATCCTATAGAATAAATACAATAAACTAATTATATTTATTATAGATTCATTTATTAACAATATATTCAATTGTTCCATCCCAGAGGTGCTTCATTGGAAACATTTGTTAACACAGTAAAACATATACGTAAAACAGTTACAATACTCATTTATTTATTTGTATCCTGTCTTTATTTTTTTAATATAAATAAGTCAAGGCATCAAAGATAGATAGACCTTATTCCTAGTTTTCTTACTACAACAACAACAACCCTGTGATATATATTGGGCTTAGAAAGAATGACTGGCCAAGGTCCACCGCTGGCTTTTATGACTAAGGGGGATTAGAACTCATGGTCTACCAGTTTCTAGGCTGATGCCTTAACAACCATTATGCAATCCATGAATCATTGCATTACCAATATTAATCATGAACTCTATGAAGATATTCTCTTCTATAAAGTTATGGCATTCTGACATTGTCACTCCTTTCCTTTCCAGCACTGCATACTCATGTTTGTGAGAATGGGGGATTTCATGTTTGAGGCAGGAGATGGGAGGAACTTAGTCAAGAGGCCAAGATTAGTCCTTTCTATCTTTTTCAAGTCATTCTTTCCCAGCCATTTGTCCTCTACCTACTTTCCAGAAGAACAAAACACCAAAACAAATGAGCAGACAGTGATAGGTATTTATCTCTCCTTTCTATTGTTTGTATGCAGCAGGTGCCCATTGATGTTGGCTTTAATATGAGACATAGATGAGCCAGCGCACACTATAAATACATGATTTATTTACCCTTTCCAAGGAAGGAAAGGGTAATATATGGCAGCGACAGCACTGTGTCTCCCATAATTTCTAACCAAGCAGTAAGACAGGTTGTGAAATATATAGCCCAAGGCACAGATTGATTATTTATGTGATACATTCTCAGTTCACTCCAGATTTCACTCAAAAGATTGCTATTTTCTAAGTATCTTGCCTTGAATTAATCCCCACCCTATAAGGGCAAGATGTTATACCTATCAGATTTTCCTCTTTAATTACAAACAAAAGCAAAGTCTCTATTTGTGATAGCAAAAAGAGACTGAATTGAAGGAAAGCAGATGGGACTTTACACATTTCTATTTTTTATTTTGTTTTGTTTTGTTTTCATTTGGGAGCCTGGCAGTTTCAGAATAAGAGCAGAAGATACTTTGCAGGTCTACCAACTTTACTTTTGTTCCAGTTCACAGTGAAAAAAATATGCAGATCATGCAGTTAAGATTTGCTTAATACATAGTTTGCTCTTCCTGTTTGTTTAGTGACGTTCTCAGTGCTAAAATAGTTACAGAAATATCAGAGTAGTTTGATTTTGATCAATGTGCAACTATAGAAGTTTCATAATCCAGGTCCTTTAATTTGATACTCTTACAGCAAGAGGAGTGCAGTCCAAGCGGCACCCCTGGACCTATCATTGTTTGCGTTCCACTTCACGAGGTATATGTGTTTTGTTCAACATCTGCTTAGGAGTTACAAGTTTATGTACGTCATGATATCTCAGTTCTCTTCTTTACCATTCTCCTACCTTTCTTATTAATTAGAAAAGTCCTTTAACTTTATTTAAATTATAGCTGAACTCAAGCATTATGCTATGCCCTGGTCTGCCTAACGATGTTTTATTGAATTAAAAAGCTGCCTTTGAATAAGAATCAATCTGTAAACCATAGTTTACAAACCATAATGGATGGATTACAAGGAAACTCAAATAAATCACATTGTGATTTAATACAGTGATGAACTCAGCAGTTTAGCTTGATCCAGTCAGAGCAGATAAATAAAGATAAATAAAGGAATAATTTAAGACAAATAAAAAATGGATAAATAGGTGGGAGGAGGGATACTAAAATGCTTAATTTTGTCATGATTAACCTACGTCTCATTGGATTCAGTAGGTTTGTTTTAGGCATAATGTCTTCTGTATGTAACCTAGTGAATTTCTATATTTCAAATTACGCACAAATAGTTCAATGAACTATTAATTAGTAATATATTATTAGAGGGGTTCTCTTCTTTTTTAATATAAATATTCATTCCTTTTAAAAGAATTAAATATGTTGGTAGGGCATACAATTGTTTCTCAGTACCATAAAGAAAAACCATCATTTAAAGTAAAAGTATTCCTGTATCCAAAATAAATAAATAAATAAAATGCATAAACAAAATTGCTACAGGACATGAAAGAGATCCAAAGGAAATACTATACCATTTATTTCCAGCCTGGTAGATCTAAATGTATTAGGACTACAGATCCAGTACATCTGGGAAGCATGGGATTTTCCCTACAATCCCAACCCATCTGGGCGGATGTATGTGGATTGGGAAAAAACTTCAAGAATAAGCATCTGGATTCACCTTGAGCCTGAGCAGAAGCAGCAGTTTCCTTCCATACGTTTTTGATTTGCAAAATGTTGACTCTGATATCGAAGTGGGTGATTATCTATAGCGCACACTTAGGCTCATTCGCTCTACCACTTTTCTCTTGTTTGCTCCCTCTGGAAGCAATTCCTGCATCTTGGGTTTCTGACATTTAAAATAAGCATGAAAAGGATACTTGAATGATGGTATCTGATTCTCTAAAAGCTCTACCCCTTCCTTGGTGTTGAGAAGTTGAAAGATTTATGTAGGGTTAGGATGTTATTTTGAGACCTGAGGCTATACCTTGTCTATCCCCTGACAGGCCTTTCATTTTTGATCTTTTCTATTCAGTAAAAGAAGAAATGTGAAAAAGATATAGTATTTTCACATCTTATTCTCCCAAAGATGTCACTTCCTCTTGATGGTAGAGAAAACACCAAATCTTAAGCAAACTTTCCCATGATATGAACAGAGATTATATTATCTTAAATTACATAGATGCCCTTTAAACTGCATCACCCTTTCACATCGGTCCTGTGGGATTTCATTGGTGATACATAATCTTCATTCCTC